CGTGATTCATTTGTCGTTAACTAAGAATGTTTATCCATTTGTTAAATCATGATAATGACTATCACAGGAAAAGTGGAACCACTTATTTTCTCTTATCGTGCCTTAAAGATTTATAATGGTATAAAAGAATCACAGAGAATCTGATTACAATGTTTTCGTTGTGTTTTTAATGTAAATCACTGTTTTTATTTTACTGTGAATAATTGTGGATTTTTCTTGAGAAAATCTTTCTATCTGGACTGAAAGAATGGTTCAGAGCTAATAATAAAACAGAAATGTTACATTTAATCATCATAAATGTTATGCAGTGATTTCTAGAGTCTATAAGAAGGAAGCTAAAGAGGTTATCATGATGTTGTTGCACAACCACAGAATTTAACCTTGACTGGCACCTGCCTGGCAAGTCTGTATCTTTCTTTCTCTGACTCATCTCTAAACCTGAGGGCGGAACCTAAGTTCGTCCGTTCTTATTACTAACCCAGACGGCTTTGAGCTCACTCCGACTTCCTCGTTTAAACAAGGAAGACGGCTGGATTCTCTTTGGAGGATCTCAGCTCTGGGCTGTAGAGCCAATCCCACGAGCCAATTAGGGTGGATTTTACAGCCAGGGAGCTGACAAGCCTGTCGATGCCCCCCCCACGAGGCTTCAAGTCTCCAAGCTTTTGTTTACCTTCCGATGGGAAGATGATTTTATTTTGAAGGAGAGACCGGATACGGCTTGAATTTTTCAGGTTTGGACTGAAACAGACGCAAAGTTACCTGAGAAATAACACCTGTTCGCCAATGACTGGTAAGCGAGCCGACAACAGTTCACTGACTGATCGGAGGCGAGCCAGTTTTCTACTCAGAGGGTGCCTTAAGAAGCCATCATCAGGTAAAAGGGTGATGTGTTTGGGTGACATGTCCTGTGGAACTGAGTCGAGAAAAAACGTGCAGATCCGGTTGACTCACACTTHGGTAAAAGTAAAGTAGTAGAAATACTAACCTTACTTTCCTCCTTTCCTTGTACTTTGATTTGCCAAACTTAAGCTAAAGTGCCAGTAAAATTGTTTGGTTGTTTAACATCAGAACTGATGTTTTACTGTTCTATTATAAGTAATTTGAGTTGATGTGGATTGAAATTCGGACCCAGGTTTTTATCTCATTAATAATGAAAGCTTGTTATAGGAACTGAATACCCACAATCAAGTTGTAACGTATGCTCTGTTTAATTTGTGTAAATAAATGATCGSATAGACATTGTTAACCAAACTGAACTCGTCTGGGTGTTCCACTTATTGTGTCATTTTTCACTTCGCACAGTCAAGATGTTAACGAATAGTGAGAAACCCTTGGTACAAATTTTTCCTCATAACCCTGTGTATGAGAGATGTGGGAAAAAGCTTATTTCATCCTAGGCTCTCTCCTACACGGGGCTGCCATGCTTCTGCACCACCGGGCTCTCTTACCACCTTTAGTAGGCAAGGCGGCTGAAGATGTAAATCATCATATAAAGAGTTTAGTTCAGAGTTGTAAGAAGTTTTGTAGAGAAATTAAATATGCTGTAATTTGGTTTGTTTTTCTGTAGATAAAATGACATAAAAAGCCAAACATGATCAAATAACATGAAAAATATTCAAAGTTATGYGAATAAAATTCAAYATTTTCTGYACATAARTTTAGACAGTCCAAAGATTTTAAATGGTACGCAACGTACWGATTTTAAGTTAGACAAAGACAAAAAAACGTTAAATTATATAGGACTTCTTCCTGTTAAGGGGGAGTTTTTCCTCTTTGCTGCTGCCGGTGTGCTGTTCAGGATGGGAGACTGATGAAGCAAAGATTCGGTGCAGTCTGCTGGCTTCTTTAGATTTATTGGGTTTTTGGTGTGTGTGTGTGTGTGTGTGTGTGTGTGTGTGTGTGTGTGTGTGTGTGTGTGTGTGTGTGTGTGTGTGTGTGT